TTATTTTCCTTTTTAAATCTTGAATTAAAACAATATATATTTTCGGGTATGTATTCACTTAATTCAGGCAATAGGCAGATAATCTCCAGGCCAAACGTAAGGGTGATCGTGGAGACGCAATGTGTTGTAAAATACAACTGTAAAAATTTAAAATAAAATTGGAAAATCAGACAAAGATTCATAACCTTGCTGTGTCTGAAACATGAAGGAACATCAAGGCATTCTCAATAGGCTCTTGTAAATCTTCAGTTGTCCTAGTAATTCAAATAATGCTTTAAAAATGCCACATAAAATCCAATATACATGGTAATCCAATTCCATAATCCATGGTAAAAGACAATTTCTAATTTATTTTTAAAATCATACAAAAAAGGAGGGTGTTTGGAGATGCTGCGAAGACTGCTGAAGATTTTACGGTATGAGTGAAATATGAGAGAAATTAAGGAAAGACGGATTCAATTGATATGGATATTTTAATTGGAGGCGTTCCGGATGCATCATAGACGTTAATATGTCTCTGCGTCGATCATGAACCGTGAAAAATAGCGAGGTGTAGTTAGTTGAATTTGAGACTTTAATAAAGATACGAAGACACGGGTAACTCATACCAACGAGACATAGTAACCTACCGAGAAGAGTGAGAGGAGAATCATTAGTACGATGCGATTCTCAATCACACGCAGCTAAACATAGTCATCTTCAGAGCGTACTACACAAGGAAAGCGAAAAAAAAATTAGGATTGAGAAGCCAAGCCGTACTAATACAATAAATTTTCCTTCCCTTGTTGTAGGCTGAAATGTTGTTACTGTTGATGGATGAAAGCCGCTATAAAAAGATCCTACCTCTCCTGGACTATAGTAATGAAGTAAGCGTTCAAGAGAAAGAAAAAATTATATAAAGTAATACCAAAGAGTTCATTTCCAAAAGAGAGGAGTTATATTTTATTTATTTATTATATGGGAAAGATGGACTCAGTTTGTAATCTGCCTGAAAAAATTTTTCAAATTTGTAGGCCTTTTATGCATTTTCAGAAATAGTTAATCAAAACATAAATCCACTAAGCCAGAAATAGGTCTAAATTATTTGTAAACCAAACAACAATTTCAAGAAATATTTGATTAAAAATCAAGTGAGATTTAACTTTTGGTTTGCATCCATGGAAGTCTTGAAAATGAAGAACTGATTTCTCTTCACCTTGGTCAACGCATTTGGATACCACTTGCACCCAAAAGAGGCTAGGACTTTGTAAAATATTGCAGTCAACTCTTACCATCACATATATAATCAAGCTTGAAGATGGAATATATAATACATTAATTATATATTATATATATATAACTTGAATATTATAGAAGCAGACAGTATACCAAATTAGCTGTGATGAACATGTATAGATATCTGCTTTTCTAATGTCTCATCTTTTCAATTGAGGATTTGGTCATTAAGTTGGTTAGTACATATTTTTAAAACTTAATATTTCAGTAAAAGGCTTAACATTTATATATGTGTGGGACGGACAAAGAACGAAAGTTACCTCATTTGAATATAAGCTATCATAGGAAATTCATGCAAGTTTGTTTTAAAAAACCTTTCTTAATTTTTTGAGTTTTGTTTCTGAATTGAAATGTATTCGCACCACTCATAAGTATTTCTCAAAAAATAGTCCACTTTATATGGATTAAATTATTAAAAATATAATTTTCTTTTAGTTTTTAGTAAAATAAAAATATTACTGTTATGCAAAATCAAATTCTTATCATCGAATGAACACATTAAAACTATAGACTATAGTAATGAATATTTGACCCGACAATAAAATTGAGTTTGAAATCCTCTCTCGTACCTAAAAAAAACTATGGAATGACAAATATTTAAAAATACTCCAAGTATTTATGCAGAGAGCTTATTAAAATTAAAGAAATTTTGTTCCATCATTAAGTTTAATAAAATTTTAAATATTTTATGTGTACAAAAGCACAAAGATTATGATACAATTTATCTATTAAATAACAGCCGCCGAATACATAAATGCTTTTCTGAACTTTGACAAATTAACCCATAACAACAACCCTCAATTTTATGGGGAATCAATTATGCACCCAAAGTAAGAAATTTTTGCACTAATTAAACACATTTCACACTGGACAACCACGTTGTGTAATTACATGGGGAAAACTGCCTAGACTCGGTCTATGGCCACTCATGGACTGAGCAAATGAAATTCAGGATTTTCTAAAAATTATTTTGAATTTTTTCTTTTTCAAGTGTTATGATAAAAAATACCGTCATTTCAATAAGAATACTTGAATTTCATAGTTTAATTTTCTATAGGATTAGGACATGGAATCAGATCTTTAAATAAGTTTCCCATTTACGTGAAAGCTGTAGAATAAATAAAGAAATGGAACCCAATTTATTTACACATTCGGGTCAACTTTAAAAATAAAAAAATAAAGTTGGGTTTTTGTTGTTTCGTCTCCTTTACAAAGCTTTAATTTCTTCTCTAATTGCATAGAAAAACAGAGCAAAAGTTTAGAAAATACGGAGGACTCCAATTCTTAAAGAAAGAAAGAGGATGAAGACATCATCTCTTTATTTGTAAGAGAAAAGTAATCTTGAGATTTACCATACAATAAAAAGGATAGAAAGAAAAAAAGAAATTCCAGAAAAAAACTAGAAACCTCTATTTTTAATTACACACACAATATATAGAGGGGGAGGGTTAAGGGGAGAAAAATATTAAAATTAAAAAGTCATATCATTCAGGGTGTTGTTATAGATTTCTCCCCAGTCACCATTTAATTGCTCTCTAGGACGTATGCAAAGAGTAGCTTCAAAGGTAAAAAAGCAATGGAGTTGCCAAAACATTATGAGATTGGTGCCTTTACTGTTAAAGAACAAGGAATTTATAATAGATCAAAAATCCAAATCAGATTTCTGAAGAACAATATCATAAATTATCAACATAAGAAAGATGATATCTATAAAAACCAATACGGCGATCATTTAGGCATTGATAGAGCAGGGGTAAAGAAAATCAACACGTGCTCTCATTGCGTGAAAAATAGCCAACATAGGCGAAAAAAGGAACCTCGCATGATCAAAACAAGACCCACCAAACTGAAAATTGTGGTTTTGCTGCTGAGGAATTGAAAAGATTCGTGATTTTGGTGCGTGAGAATGAAAAAAAATTATGATTTTTTGCAGAAAATTTTTAGCTCCGAGTGGCGAAACATTTAAAGAAAAGAAAAATTGAAGAGGTTCAAGTCAATAGATGAAGAATCTGAGAAATCTCTGTAACAACAAGCAAAAGAGTTGTTATTGAGGAAAAAACAAAACGGCAACAACAAAATAAGGAGTTTACTCTCCAAGAACATCTTCAAGAACCCGAAATCTTGCCCCAAAATAAAAGCTTTAGAAGATATGAAGATGGCAAAGTTTGAAAATTAAAAAATATCTCCCTCAAAAAAATTTACGGAAGAAGAAGTCCAAAAACCAATTTTCCTTGCACTAAAGTCTTGACACACAGGAGGGAGAGACGGATTGCAAAGCTGTTTGCTTGCAAGGAAAACTCTAATTTAGGTAGAGGCGAATAAGGAAAAGGTAGTTGCGAAAATTGGAAGAAAACTTCCACTAAGAAAGGCCCAAGATGGACCAAGTTTTTCTACTGCTTGGCCTTCATTAAAATGATGTATAATGAGGATTCTGTTCAGCATGAGAAGTGTGCAAGAGATGAAAAAATGGACTTTGAGATGCATAATTTGCGTCCCTGTAAAGTTAATGGGTTTTTTTTTTTTTTTTTTTTTTTTTTTTTTTTTTTTTTTTAAATAACTTGGGCAAATATATGATGTGGTTATTAAATTTTTTTTTTTTTTTTTTTTTTTTTTTTTTTTTTTAAATACTTGGGCAAATATATGTATTTGGTTATTAAATAACATTTCAATTGAGAACAAATACTGAAGGTTGTTTACATGTAAAAAACTGATGTAGTTTTCTTGAAAATAGTTTTACGTGCGAATCCGTCAATTTTTTATTTAGAAAACTGGAAAATAAATTCAAATTTTTTAAAATTTAGCTACAATTTTCTTTCATAAAAAAAAGTTATTTTTCATTGTGGGTCTGCATATATGAATTCATTATATATAACTCATTTTTTTTACTTAAACATATTATCAAGTCGTATATACACTTATCACTATATTATTTATTGATTTACATTTTTATATAACTCAAATTACACCATAATTGATTATCAAATCTCATTACTATTATATTATAAAATTAAAATTAATGAGACATTTAGCAAAGTCAGATTTTATAGTCTCGTATTGTCTGCATCTATGAATTCATGTTATATTATACATATTTATTTATTTGTAAGGCGGCTCTTGAAGGTGATATTTGTCTCCATCTATCAATTTATTTTATATAACTCAAATCTAAGTCACAAAAGCAATTGGGACTTGTACACTAACGTATATCTTAGTGATAAGTATATATACGCCTGATAATAGATTTAAGTTCGAATTATTTTTCTCATTACTTAAAAAGCGATCTGGACTTTTAGGTGGCTCTTCTTAAGGTCCTGCTTCAATAACTAATTGTAAAATTATTCTATATATATGCAAAGAAGTTAAATGAAAACTGACTATAAAATTACCGTAAAATATATCTTTTATGCCTACATAACTCGTATTGTGACAAATTAAAATTCACTTGTATGTTAAAAGATATATTTTAAGTTAAATTTAGAAGACTTCTTAAAAATACAAGGCTTTCAAACTAATTTTCTCAAATCATTTTTTTTAACAGCTCCCTAAATTTAAAAATTAAAAAGTGATCAAGAAACTAAATTCAAAATGTAATGATCTAGCCAATAATTGACAGAGATGAGTTACGTTTATTTTGGAATTGTATTTATTAAAAAAATTAAAAGAAACCAAAAAAAAAAAAAAAATGTAATAAATAAGTCGATAGCCAACGAAGCGCTTGGCCTCATCATCACTCATCTCCAAAGTCATATTCGTGTCCACATTATAAAAATTCAATCGACCAACGTACCAGCTCCGGCGCCAGTCAACCACACCAAATATGCTCTCATCCCTATCACCACCATAAACCAGCACTCTAATTTATCCCTCTCTCTCTCTCTCTCTCTCTCTCTCTCTCTGATATGGGCAGTACTGAAGAACCAAATAAAGCCGGTTCTCTGTATGACTACTCTTCCCCGTCAGAGCCTCTCCTCTCCAAACCACCCTTCTTTCCTCCTCCTCCTCCGCCTCCACCTCCGCCTCCTCTAATCGAAGAATCCACCTCGCCCAGTCCAGATGAATCCGACCCCACCCAATACCTCCAGATCTCTTACAACTACGGTCCTAGACCTTTCAAAGACATTGCCTTTCTCATTCTCTTTGTTCTCTTTGTTCTTTGCACTTTCGGTTTTGGAATTTTCTCTATCTTTCATAGAAATCCGAATTACTCTACTCTTTCCTCTTATACATATGATTCCAATTTAACTTCTTGTGTTAAGGACTCGTTGTCTTTATCCAATGATGGATTACTCAGAATCAATTTTTATTATTACTTCTTGAGTTCGTCAAGTTCGAGTTTTGGGAAGGCTTTGATATGGAGTCTTGTAATTACTTTAGTTTTGAGTGCACCTATTTGCTTTCTCTTGCTTTTGTTGCTCAAGCATTACACCAAACAGATTGTGTACATCTCACTTCCTTTCTTTGTTGTTATTCCCATCTTTTTTAATATCTATTGGTTTGTTGCCTGCACTGTTAGTTCTTCTTGTAGCGATGGATTTCCTTTGATTTATAGGATTTTGGTCATGGTTTTTGTATTCTTAGGTATTGGAATCATTGTGTGGATTTTTGTAGCTAATAGGCATCGAATTGAGTTGACTTTGAGGATAATTGCAGTTGCTTCTGATGCACTTTCTAGTAATTTGGGGTTATTTGTTGCATTGCCATTATTGGCAATTGGTTTAATGGTTTATTATATTCCAATCGTGGTGTTTTTAGTTTTTGCTAGGCTGAACGGGAAAATTGTGCCTAAGGAATCAAGTGGAGAATACACTTGTATTTGGAAGCAGGATAGTTGGGTTCCTGCTTACAATGTATTGGCAATCCTTACAATGCTTTGGTCTTTGACTTCGATGGTAGAAGCTCAGGTTTATGTGATCAGTGGAACTATTGCTCAGTGGTACTTTACAAAGGAGGATTCAACTCCTGAAAGGAGCATTAGAAGTTCTTTGAGGTGATTTCCAGCTTCCACTTCTTTGTATGGTGTAAAGTATGCATATTTAGGTAGTGTTTTTGGTTATATGGTTGCATTAAACTCTCTGTGTATTACTTTACTGGATTTTGATTTGGACAATTTGGAGTGTGCACTTGTTATCTGAATTCTGTATTGGGATGGTATTACACTAGTAATAGTCATGAATTATGATCCCAAACGATTCTTTCCAGAGTGACCTAGTGTCGTAAATTACCTTGAGTTATTTCTCATGGATATCAGTTTCATTCCTCCAAAATGATATAAAATATATTTATGCATTTTTTATTTTTTGTACTAGTTAGTTCAAAACCTTTGCCTTCTGAACCCCCAACTTAAAGTGTTGCTTGGTGCAAAATAAACCTACACGGTTGCATGTGAGAATCAGCCAATAGTTGACATTTAGAAGTTGATTTGTAAATTTGGCCTTTCATATAACACCATCTCCTTAATGGATTTTCAAAATTATTTACCTTTGTATCTAATCTTGCTTAGCATAGACCATCTAATGATTTCTTTACAAGCGAAGTTCTTGTAGACTGTAGTTTCTTTGATTTCAGTGAATATCCTAAGAAAATTTGAAGTTTTTGGATGGATAGCTGGAGTTGAGATTGCAACCCCCAAAATATGTTTCACAATGCGGTTGCTCCTAGAATCATGACCTCAACATTTCCACTATCTTGTCCATTTTCAAATGCATAATGAATTTTCCATTTTCCATTCACTTTTTCTGCAATGCTAATTGGTGTTTGTGGCTCCAAAGACGTTATGCTTTGGTCTATGTTTAAATTCCTTTATACTATGTAGTATTTTTATGGCACTATGGATGTTCAACGTCCTCCATTTTGTTTAGCGATCCCTATCTTCTCTCTTTTTTTTTTTTTTATCCTCCTTTATGCGTGTGTCTATTTATTTAAAATGAGAAATAATGAAATCTAGTTTGTGGATTTCCATAAAACTGTGGTTTGATTATATTTTTATATTGCTGATTACAAAAAGTTTTCATGATAGTCCGTTCTTTTTCTGTTAGATGATAACCAACTTATTTTCATTAAGTTTCTGTGTCAATATTGAATGTTATGTAAGGGACCACTTATTGGGTGAAGAATTTTAGATATTTTAAGCACTTTCAAACGACCTTGTTATATTGATATTTACCTTCTCATACTAATTTCGTTGCCATTCCAACTGGGTATATATATATATAGGCTGCTGTAAGGAGTATATAGATGCTTTAAATATGTGCATGCACTAGCTCCCCAAACCCAAAGAACATTAATTTGTATTTCCATCCGAAGAGGTGCTTATTAGGATTTTGTTCAGCATTTTCATCTTCCTGAAGTTTTATTGTAAGTACAAACCTATCACATACCTTTCCGTGTCCATTAATTGTGGACATTTTGGTATCCTTGCTACCAGTATTTCTATAGCTTATAACTATGCTTCTCAGAGGATTACAAACATAAACTTCACCTCTTTTTTTTTTTTTTTTTTTTTTTTTTTTTGTATTGTGTTTTAAACACTTGCAGAAATGCATTTGGCCCCTCCTCTGGCACTGTATGTTTATCCGGACTACTTATTTGCATTGTCCGTATGGTGCGTGCTGCTGTTGATAGTGCTAGACAAGACAATGCCCGTGGCATGATGAACCTTGTATTGCGGTGTTGTGTTGATGTATTAGTGTCAGCGGTGGATTTTCTTAACAAGTTCACAATCAACTTTGCAGCAATAACTGGTGAAGCCTACTGTACCTGTGCAAGGATGACATATGAACTCCTAAGACGCAATCTTCTCTCTGCAGCTTTTGTAGAGACTGTCTCGTCTCGTTTGTTGGCTGGCGTTATATTTGTCCTCTCAGCAATTTATGCAATTGTGGTGAGTACCTATTTTAATACTTGTTTATTTATTTTATCTCTATGAGTTGCAGGTTTATGATGAAAACTGATAACTTTTTGACATTTTCCTAGTGGATTAGGAAAATTGATTGTGTTTCAAGTATATTCCTAGGTCCTAACTCCTAAGTCCATAGCTGAGAGAAGGAGTGGTATTTCCTAATATTTGTTATTTATAAAGAGAGAGAGAGAGAGAGAGAGAGAGAGAGAGAGAGGGAGTAGGATTCCCTAATATTTGTTATTTATAAGGCCCAGTCATCTTAAACCCCAAAATATAGCATGGGTTTTTCAATATATGCTTTGAATTTCATCAATTTGGTTCAGAATTTATTGATTTTGTTCAATTGTATCGTATGGGTTTTGGCCATATGGCTGCACACGAATGGTCAATAATTGCCAACTCAAATTATGTGGGCTCCTGTGATATCGTAAAAGCCATCATAATGGCATTTTGTGAAGTATGGATCTAAAGGCATTTTAAGCAACTTTATAATGTGGGAAAATTTCACAAAATGCCATGTTTTGGTGGCTCTTAGGCCTCAGTGGCTCAATTCATTCAGGCTGGCAAGTAAGGCTCATATTTTGTTCTCACTGCAACACCATGTTACATCCACATGGGCATGCATCCTAGACGACCCATCGGGTACAATTAGAACAAAACTGGTAATTTATGCACCAAATTGATGATGTGTGAAATATAATGGAAAAGAAATGCATAAATTTGAGCGTTTTCTTTTTTTAAATCATTACCCTGCTTGCAATTATTTCTAGTTCGAATACAACTATTTTTATGATTAAATGATTAACCCTTGTCATGTGAGTAGAGTGGCAGACATCTGAAAAAAAAAAAGCCCATGCTTTTGTTTTCTTTCTTTATTGCCATAGTTACTTGTAGCTTGCATGCTGCTGTTTTTGTTTATAAGTTACTTTCAATTACGATGAGAAAACGGTTTATAAGTTATTTTCTAAGGACAATATGTTCCTGATTCTGTTTTTGTTTAAATAGGTTTGTGCCATCTTGAAAGGTGTGAGCAAACTTGGGGTTGATTCGTACTACGTAGCTCTTCTTACATGGGCACTATTAATAGTGATCCTGAGCTTCTTTGTCCATGTTCTGGACAATGTGATTGACACAGTTTATGTATGCTATGCTATAGACAGAGATAGAGGGGAGGTTTTTAAACAAGAGGTTCATGATGTTTATGTTCATCTACCCATCAGCCGAAATCATAGATCACCTATTATTGCCAAAACTCACGATGTATGATAAAAAATCCTGGACCTCTCATGTGTTGCTGTTGCTCTGTCATTTGTTCTTTTCATGTAACTACCAGTTGACTAGTTGTGCATACCTTCAATTGATTGAGAATTTTGAGGCTTGTTCAATAAAGAGCTTAATGTTTAGGCAACTTTCTGCGATAAGATGTTAATATCATCGGCCACTGCATGATCCAAGTTCAACTGAATCTGGTTATTTCTGAATTCTGCAGGTTTTTTTTTTTTTTGATACTTTCTGATCTTGTATTTTCTGATTGTAGCTCTAATGTTAAAAAGAAACGCTTGTTTCCGTGGGTTATTATTTTTCTTGTTTGTTGTTATTTTTGAGCCAAGGTTTTGGATATCCTGGTTTTCTGATGATTATAGCTCTCTTCCCTGTTTCCTCTGAAAATTGGAAGACCCAAAGTAGTCCAACTTAAAATTTCTGATTTCAGTGCACTCACAGTGGTCACCCCACAACAGATAAAAATTGTTGGACTTCAATGAGTTTGAACTGGTTCACAAGGATATTGAAATTGAATTAACTAATATTATTGGTTAACTATATTTTTATCTATAAATTTTTTTTAATTTAGAAAATATTAGAAATATACAACTGTAAGTTTATTGAATTAAAATGTTCAATCAAATGTAATTGAGTTTTTGTTTGTGTTCGAGTTCCTAATGTGTATGAATTTGAATTGATCATTTTTTTTTTTTTTTTTTTTTTTTTGGAAAATAATTGACCAATGAGTTTAATAAAACATTTTAACGAGTTGCACTTAGGAATGGCAACGACTACTATTTTACAAATTATTATTACTTACAATATAGCTAAAATAATATAAGGGACACGTGACAATAATCTGGGGGCAGATGAAAAAGAAAAGTAAGACAAATAATAGGACCGAGGGAGTATATTGGAGTTTAAAACCTATTGTCTAATTATGCCATTGAGTATTTTTAAATGTTTTTGCTTGTATTTATTATTATTAGGTAAAATAATTATTTCGTGTCTGAAGTTTGCTATAATTATTTAAGTAGTTTCTGACATTTATACAAATATTTATAACGTTCTTGAGGATCACTTCCGTCTTATTAATTGGTCATTCTATTTAAAAATTACACTTTTTTCGTTAATTTTGAGAGGAAAAGACGAAATTATCTTTTGAAAAAATAATTATTTCAACAGGTTTGCCATAATTATTTAAGTAATTCCTGACATTTATACAAATATTTATAATGTACTTAAAGTTCACTTTTGTCATATTAATTGGTCTCTCTGTACAAAAAAATACAATTTTTTCATTAATTTTGAGAGGAAAAGACGAAATTATCCTTTATAAGTTTTCATCGACATTATTGTCAATCCCTTCCTCTAAAATACCTAAAATTCAAATTTTCACCATTTTCCTCAATCCAATACAGTCTTCATTGCCACCATTGTCTCTTTGTCAACTATCATCTCCATAACCAGATCACCACCAAAACTAAAAGGGAAAATAATTATTTCGTCCCTGAGGTTTGTTATAATTATTTAAGTAGTCCCTGATGTTTATATAAATATTTATAACTTCCATGAGGTTCACTTTCGTCGTATTACTTGGTCCTTCCGTCCAAAAAATACACTTTTTACTGTTAATTTTTAATAGAATGACCAAACTATCCTAAATCCTTTAATCAAGGAGAGAGAAATAAATCGATGAAGGGTAATGATGGCTTGATTGAGTTTGGATGTCAGGTTTTAGTTTTGGTGGTAATCTGGTTATGAAGATGATGGTTGACAGAGACACAATGGTAGCAATGAAGACCGTGTTGGGTTGAAGAAAATAGTGAAAATTTGAGTTTTTGGTATTTTAGAGGAAAGGGATTGACAAAAATGTCAATGAAAACTTATAAAGGATAATTTTGTCTTTTCCTCTCAAAATTAACGAAAAAGTGTATTTTTTTTACGGGAGTACCAATTCATATGACGGAAGTAAATCTCATGAATATTATAAATATTTGTATAAATATCGGGAACTATTTAAATAATTATAGCAAAGTTCAGGGATGAAATAATTATTTTTCCAAAGGATAATTTCGTCTTTTTCTCTCAAAATTAACGAAAAAAGTGTAATTTTTGGACGGAATAACCAATTAATAAGACGGAAGTGAACCTCAGGGACGTTATAAATGGAAGTGAACCTCAGGGACGTTATAAATATTTGTATAAATGTCGGAGACTACTTAAATAATTATGGCAAACCTCAGAGACGAAATAATTATTTTCCCTTATTATTATTGTTAAGAAACTTATTTTGAAATGTTATTATTAAAATATATTTGTGGTTTGCTTGTATTTATTATTATTATTGTTAAGAAACTTATTTTGAAATGTTATTATTTAAATATATTGTGGTTTGTGAAAATTATTGTATGATTATATTTCCAAGTATATTTAATTTTGTTGATTGTTCCTTTTAAATTTTCTCCATTATTTATTATTTATTTGATCCATAAATTTACATCTGTATATAACTCAATCCGTTAATAATTCATGGATTCACATATTTGATAGGCTGTATTAGATTTAAAAAAATAAAATAAAACATACAGATTGTATACTTTAAATCAATATTTGAATTGAAAGGATTAAAAACTGTTGAATCTTGGCTTAAGTGATTAAGATGAGATACTATGATTAGGAGTGAGCATTATGTTCAATTTTTTCCTAAGTTGATTAATTTATTTGGTTTTTCTATGTCATCAGTTTGGTTCGATTTAGTTAACAATTGAAATTTATTTGGTTTAATCGGTTTTAATTTGAGCAATTTCAATCATATGTAAGTCTAAAAACAAAATGTTATGTTTTGAAAATTAAGTAAGTCTAAATTTATAATAACATTGCTAACTTATAATAAATAGCTAAATCTACTAGGCAGAACTTTGTTTCACCTTACTTACTTGATGAATAATTATTGTTGTGTGAGAAATTAAAGTATAATTTTTAATTTATTTCTATAACAATTAGATAATTACATTTTTGATTGATTAGATATTTTTTTATCTATTACCAAAAAGCAAAAAGTATACTATAAAATTTGATTTTTTCTTTGTTTCGATTCGGTTTCAATTATTGAAAATCCGATTTATAATTTATTTGGTTTTTAATTTGTTCGGTTAGTTTTAATCGATTAGGTTTAACAAGTGAACCGAAAGCTCACCAAAAAAAAAAAAAAAAAAAACAAAAGGGATTATTAGAAAGGAAATTGCGGAAAAAACTTTTTGAAAATGCCAACATTATATATGTACGTGTAGCTACTAATCTTATCAGGCAAGAAAAGCTTCCATTTTGAGTCTGCAGAGTTTTCTTCTTCTTTAAGCTCGCTCCCTGCAACAATGGTTCTAGAGGTCTGTGATCGCTAACCTTCCTAATTAACTTGCAGCTTTTTAGATTAATTTGCGTGTTTAGTTTCTTCTTTTATCACCGGTTGTCATTAATTTTGATTATTAATAGGCGACTATGATATGCATCGATAATTCGGAATGGATGCGAAACGGCGATTACTCTCCCTCTCGTTTTCAAGCTCAAGCCGATGCTGTCAGCCTTATCTGTGGCGCCAAAACACAAGTAATTTGTTTCACATCGACAGTGGCTTTTCTTTTTTACCTTCAATTAGGGTTTTTTTTTTTTTTTTTTTTTTTTTTTTTTTTTTTTTTTTTTTCTATAATTAGGAACATCCTCTGTTAAAATGGCAAAGTCCAATCCAGAGAAAATACGTTGGGAATTTTGGGCCATGGCTTTTTTTTTTTTTTTTTTTTTTTTTTTTTCTATAAATTGACAACTCCTCTGTTAAAATGGCAGTCCAATCCAGAGAATACAGTGGGAATTTTGGCCATGGCAGGGAAAGGAGTTCGTGTTTTAACAACTCCTACTGCCGATCTTGGCAAAATTTTGGCTTGTATGCACGGTACGCTCGATGGGATTCTTATTTTTTATTTTATTTTTTTGTCAGTAGACAATAATGTGTATTGCGATGTAACATCATACTATTATTGTTATTTGGTTTTGAATTCTAAGTGCATTTGGTGTTATTTTTAGTAACTTATGGCCATTGGCAATTATTTGTGTAATTGCAACCTTATGCATTGTGAATGAAATTTGGGTTTTAGTACTGGAGATTATTATTGGACTTCAAGTGTCCACTAAAGCAGTCTTCTTTGCATGCGAGGGAATGGTAGCACATTTTCTCTGCAATGCTAGAGGTCTTGGGCACTAGGACACATTATTTCGAACAATAGCTCATTTGTGCCTTTATAGCTGTGAAGTTCATGTTTAATCTGATCTTTAAGAAGGGGGAGCATGTGCGAGGGAAACAGAAAGGCAGAAGCATGCACATATTAGCTATTCAGAAAAAAAAAAGAAAAAAAAGAAATAGCCATAATCAACTTTAATGAGAATTTGATGCTAATTTTCTGCTTCAATTCAGTATCTTTATGAAGAAGGTTCATCTTGGTAGATGTGGAACTCTTCCTAGATTGCATGGAAACCGAAATGACGAATTATGGAAACAAGGAAACAATACGAGGAAATGACATCTAACATATAATTTTACACGGGGGAAAATGGTATTTTATACATGAAAATGGATACGTGGAAACATTTCCGCCATGAAGAAGCGTCCATGGCTAGGGGTTTCCGTACATCTTAGAACTCTTCTGTTAATGATTGGATGTTACAACAATGTCGGTGAAGCTTGCACTTGTTTACTGTTTGAAATTTATAAACCTGGGGTGGAACTCATTATAATAAAATTGTGTAAATAGATTGTATTCACAGCAGCTCCACCCCTTGTTTTCTTTTTCCTCCTTTTTCTTGGCATCCCCCATACTGTTTACCAGCTCAAATTAATAAGTATTTTCCCCAATTGTTTGATATTAGAGTGCAACTCCCGGCCATGGTTTTAAAAAAGAAAAAAACAATTGTGCAGGCATTGAAATGGGGGGTGAGATGAATATGGCAGCTGGAATCCAGATTGCTCAACTAGCTCTTAAGCATCGCCAAAACAAAAATCAGCAGCAAAGAATAATAGTTTTTGCTGGAAGGTAGTCCGCCTATTGATATCAGATTTGTTCTTTTATATTTGTGTGGACGCTAAGTTTTTTTTTTTTTCTTTTTTTGCATGTTTCAGTCCTGTCAAATATGACAAAAAGGTACTAGAGATCATAGGGAAGAAATTGAAAAAGAACAGCGTATCTCTAGATATTGTAAATTTTGGTGAAGAAGATGATGGAAAGCCACAGAAGTTGGAGGCCCTCCTTTCTTCTGTCAACAATAATGACAGCAGCCATATTGTTCATATTCCTCCAGGTCCAGATGCACTCTCTGATGTGCTTATCAGGTGTGATGTCTTATTTTCTTTTAGTTTATGGTACAGACATACAGTTACCAATTTGTGAATTGATATGTTGATATTAGTTGTTGACAAGAAATTTGGAAGAACATTCTCAAGAGCATGCCTAAAAAAGGTCAATAGAGTAGTGTGAAATCTGGGGGGCACTTATTAGAATAGAGGTTATATTTATTGTTATTGAGTAGTTGATTATGCTGATCTGGAGTTCTTCCAAGGTTGTCAAAATTACTTTTTCACTTGGGATTGGCAGAGGGTCCATAAGATCAGATCAAGTTATTGTAAGATTTTACAGGCCACATAAGATCAGATAAAGTTATTGTAAGATTTTACAGGCCACATAAGATCAGATCATAATATAGTCAAATTTAATTGTGCTTTATAAATATGGAATTCACCTAATACTATCTTGGTGGTTGCTAAAATCCTTAATATGAAAAAGAAGAATGATTGAATCTATTTTTCCCACATACAAATTAGATTTAACATTTGACAAAATAGCTTTTTATTTGTTGGAGTGTTGTAGAAGGGGAATGACAATAAGTGTGAGTTTTCGCCGCTAAAATAGCAATTGAAACTGCAATTTTAATGATTTTGGCTATGCAGGAAGCAATTTCAGTCCAATCTCTCAGGGCTGTGATTTTCTACACATTTTATTTGTTTAGGCATAATTGAACTATGAACTTGTTTGATTTTATGTGTTAAATCACAATTTCGATAACCATGAGTATTTCAAAGTTAATTGAAGATTTGTTTACCTTATATCCTTGTGATAAGCATATGAAGAACATACAATAAGACATGCATCTTTAATAAAGTGAATGTATGATAATACTCTTTGGAAGACGCTAATGATGTTTCACAATATTTTACCTCATTTAAAACACATTTTGTGAGATCATAGTTCTTTATTCCTTTGACAGCACACCTGTATTCAATGGCGATGGAGGAAGTGGCTTTCCTGCAGCAGCTGCAGCAGCAGCAGCTGCAGGTGGGAGTGACTTTGATTTTGGTGTTGATCCTAATCTAGATCCTGAGCTGGCTCTTGCGCTTAGAGTTTCCATGGAAGAGGAGAGGGCAAGGCAAGAAGCTGCTGCCAAGAGGGCTGCAGAAGAAGCTAGTAGACAAGAAAAGGTAGAGGAACCATCATCTACTTCACAGGATGCAACTGTGGTTGAAAAAACTAATGATAGCGCTGTTGAAGCAACTGGGAATAGTACAGATCCAATGGTTGGTATCATTTTAACTTATGCATTGACTGCCTGGGTTTGAGTTTGTATGTGTGGTTTGTCTATTTCTCAAAGCATGGTCATGCTTACTTAATTCAAGGTCTTTGTTCTTTTTAATGCATCTTTTGATCGTTTGAGAACTTTTTTGACAAATAATATCATGGTAGGATGAAGTGAACGCGTTGTTACAGCAGGCTATTGCACTGTCAATGCAAACTCCTGGATCAGATGATTCCTCTGCACGTGATGTTGATATGTCAGAAGCAACTATTGAAGATCAGGATTTGGCAATCGGTAGGTTTCTTCCATATTATTATAAATCTCATGGACACACTATTAGGAACTCGGATCTTATTTTTGAACTTCAATTCTCTAGGGAATCTACTGTGTATATGAAGATATCACCAATCTATTATTTAGGTTTTTTATACTGCCATTCAACTTCGGTGCAATTAAGAAAGAAGGGGAATATGTTTTCAGAGGCTGATAAATATATATATATATATATATATATTTTTTTATACTGCCATTCAACTTTCGGTGCAAATTAAGAAAGAAGGGGATATGTTTTCAAGAGGCTTGATAAATATATATATATATATATATATAAGTAACTAGCAAGATATTTTTCCTAGAGAGTGCCAAGTAGGATTTGTTAAAAATTTGGTAGTGTCATGTAGGATTGAATAAGTTAGATTATGCTACATAGGATTCCAAGTATTGCCAAAATGCTTTAAAATTTTTGTAAGCTTAGTGTATTTAGTTGTTTTGTTTTAATTTCCTGTAATTGAATTTTAATTTTGTGAATAATGCCAAAACGTATATGTCAAGACATACTAATCAATAATATAATATATATATATATAGCAAGCATATTTTTCCTAGAGAGTGCCAAGTAGGATTGTTAAAATTTGGTAGTGTCATGTAGGATTGGAATAGTTAGATTATGCTACATAGGATTCCAAGTATTCCAAAATGCTTTAAAATTTTGTAAGCTTAGTGTATTAGTTGTTTTGTTTTAATTTCCTGTTAATTGAATTTAATTTGTGAATAAATGCAAAACGTATATGTCAAGACATACTAATCAATAATATAAGAAATAATAATCATTTGACTAAATAAATGATTAAATAAATAATTAGCACAATAAAAATTTCTGCATTAAATGAAATGGCCATTTCAAAATCATAGGTTTTTATTTGACTATATAAATAAATAAAATTAAATAGAATATTTTATTTTAGAACATTATTGTCTTATATTTTTTAAAAAATGGTTTAATATCGTAATTACAATTTACAAAATATTTAACTATATTTGTTAAATTTAATTTAAACGTTGCAAATTTCAAAATTATTTATCTACAAATCGATTAGATAAATAAATAATGAAAAATATTTTAATAAAAAGTTAGATTAAATTATTTGTGCACAGCACAAGCATGTAGCTATTTATTACTTAATGACATGCAATTCAATGTGAAACATCAATCCAGTTTTCCAGGATCAATTTTGATGTTTCATTCTAAGACGGTGTAGTGGATTTTCTTGATACTTTCCTGTCATTCCAAAATATTCTCAGTACTTCCAATTATTGCTGTAGTGAATGCTAGTCATAGAGCATAGCTGCTTCCGTATCCTGTGCATTCAACATTTTTCTTGCACTTTCTTCCGCTCAACAGGTGATTGATTATGTTTTTCTTGCTCAATTGCCAGCTAAACTAATTGTATCTCCAGCCAAGTTATGGTGGAATTGAAATTAAAATTTTAGACCTGTTGTGCACAAAACTTGGAAAGATTGGTGAATCTTGTTCTGGTTTTATATATTTAGTGAACCTGCATTTTTTGATTGCTTGTGTCTGTTGCATGCAGCTCTTCAAATGTCCATGCCAGACAATGCAAAAGACTTGTCAGGTGAATCAGATATGAGCAAGGTGATGGAGGATCAATCATTTGTGTCATCTGTCCTTGCATCAGTATGTATTATCGAGTCTCTGCTAATGAACTCCATAATTGATATGATCTGGTAGATATTATTAATGCTCAGACCTTTTTTATTCCTCCCACAGCTTCCAGGAGTCGACCCTAATGATCCATCAGTCAAAGACCTACTCGCGTCCTTGCAAGGCCAATCTGAGGTTGATATATGAACTACAGCCTGCATGATCATATGAGTTATGCTTTTGCGCGTTATGTCAAATATATTCATTCTATATATTTATTGATGTTTTTTTATCTTCCAATCTTTACCAGTCTGAACAAAAGAGGAATGAAGACAAGCTGCCAAATGATGAGAAGTGAAGTTTTTCATGGCAAAAGCTTCTATATCAATGACAATCTGCATCTTAGCATGGATGATACCTCAACAGTAGGGCAACTGAGCAAGGCTCCTCTATTCATCTTGGCCACCGTATCTGAGAACAGATGGATAATGAGATGTGTGTAGAAAAGATATTAAATTTAGGGTGCCTTAAAGAGAGGGAGAAAAAAGAAAAAGAAAAGTTCTAGTGCTTTTCATCTTACGCTTTTTAACATGGAATGGGAAAATGGAACTTATTGAAGTCTAGCATGAAAATTGGAATTGCTGTATTGAAAAAAGTATGAATTTAGATGAAAAAGCAATCTGCAAGTACTATTTAGTTGTCCTTAACTTGTTCTGATTAGGAATATGTGAAAATGTAGTTTAAAAACAAAATTTAGTGCCCCTTAAATCAATATTTTCAATGGTGCTTTTTTCTTATAATAACAATGGCAAGTAGGAAAGACTTAAAGGCTTAATGTTTGTCAATTTTATTTATCGAGCAACTAAATAAAATATGTGCGCGTAATGGCATCTGATAGATTTCAGAATCCGAGCAAAAATTACAATATTAATATAAGTAAGGGAAAACAAGAGATTTCAATTTTATATATTAATTTATTAATTCAAACTTGAAATCAGTTAATAGGGTACAAAATTTATTTAAAATCCACGTGTTGATTTTCATTTAATGAGAGTAGAGTTGGAGTCTGCCTCCCACATGAAAAGATGTCGTCTATAATGCACAAGCTTTACATTATAGGGATTCGTTGAGTCGAGATGTTATGCATGTGTGAGGTGCTACCACCATACACTATCAACACAACTGTAAGCAGAGCACCTTCTCTTGGTGTGTAACTCAATTAAAAATAAAATAAAATAATTATTTAGTCCTTCAGATTTGATCAAAATTATAACTTCATCCATTTTATATAGTAAATAAACTAATTAGTCTCTGAAATTTAGCTTCATTAAACTATTTAGTCTTCTTTTTTATCTAAAAAGTATTATTTTTACCCTTAAATGAGAGATTTAATGGTAACTTAATAGTAAAATAAGCGATTAAATATCGTGAATGATTAACTATCAAATATGATATAATATTCACCGATTGGTCTACTCGATCTTCTCTTATAGAACATGTGGAAAGTGAAAGGTCGTGAGTTCATTTCTTTCCACCATAAAAATTATAATCAATTGGTGAATATTATTTAAAGAGGAGGACTAGTCCCTATTGTGCAGTCCATGTGTTCTCCTTCACCCGGTCGATAGAGCCTCCTATGTATATAAATATATTAGAGTATTGAACCCTTAAAATAATACTTTTAAAACATAAGCAACTAAATATATTAATGCTGCTAAATTTCGGAGATTAATTAATATATATTAAATAATAGCAATAAAATTATATAATTATAATAACTAAAATCAAACAAACAAACTAGTTATTTAAGAAAAAGATGTTGGTTTCAATCTAAAACTTTTTAAGCCAAAGCACCAATAAAGAAGCTAGAGCCTAGTGGTATAGATCCCTATGCATTTGGTATGAAATGGTTAAATTCAAGTTGTTGCAAAAACAATTATTCCATATTATTGCCTGATTCTGGTCCCCCTCATAATACACACTAACAGACAGCACATGCTAATCTCTTCTCCCCATTTTTTCCCCCAAGACTTTCAATTATCAACGCTGAAGTTCACTATGATAGCAAAATTCCAATTTATGGAATCAAATCTTAATTTGTAATAATTTAGTCAATGAACTACTTAATCACAATGGGATTTGAGAAACAATTTTACTAAAATTTTTTACCATTATGGTTAATCATTTTTTACTAGTCTCACCATCAACCACTGACCATCCAAACGAACTTCCATGTCAACTAAGGTCCAAGTTTAAAATGAGACTCTGTGATTCTGCTTCTTCCTTCTTGTCCAAAAGTGACTCGCTACTTGCTAGGCCATAATGTCTTTTCAGGAGTGGCTACAAATTACACACAGCCCCCATATATGAAATTTGCATATTTTCCCAACTGCTTTATGAGGATTAAACTGCACCACCAAATGTATTAGTAGCTACTAGCTAGCTAGTAGTTCCATTAGCAAGAAGACATGGACTAAATTAAAAGGAATTGAAGGGTTGAACTATACAAAACCCTAATCCATGTATAGGACTAAACAAACAAAAAGATGGCTACAGAGAATTATTGAATCAACCTGGTGCACTCAAAAATATTGTATTCTGCACTCATAAATACATGAGAGTCACATGAATTTTAGTAAGGATGATCCCATATTTAACCAAGTAAAGTTAAATATGTTCATGTTAGCCGCGCATTTAGGGTGGCGCAACGGGGACATCTACCTCACTAGTCTTTTACATTTTAGTTCAGAATTTTTGACATTTTAATCTATAACTTGCATTTATTTGAATTTATTTCACTAAAGTTTACTTTTTGTGATCTTTATATATTGGCCCCACTAATTAGACTTTCTGAATCCATTTCATGAATCATGAGCCAAGCTTGAGCTTATAGAAAATATGAAAATTTTCAAAGTCTTAGCTTACCTGAGTTATAATTTTCTTTTCCCAAAATTAGAACTTGTGGCTTAGCAGACAAACAAATTTAATAAAAACGCATGGTACCGGCAAAATTCAATATTTAATATATAAAATTATTAGGATGAAACATATTTAGGTATAATTTAACAATAAATGCATGTACGACTTACAATAAATTTAGGTTCCAATTTAACATCAACCAATGCTTTAAAAAAAAAAAAAAAGAACAGAACTGTTTAGGATGAAATCAAATAAGAGTCATGTTTGAGATTAGAAGTTGTGGGCCTGAAAATTAGTGTCTAACATTTTCCACAAGAGAGGGCCACCGCAAACGTGAGGGACATGTCTCCTATTGCAAACTTCCATTTCTTGCGGTTTCTGATGGATTTTAGCGTTTGGATAAAGATATGCAACAATTTGTTTATGGGATGATAATATATTGGGATGTTGCTCATTTCTACCATACTTTGTTAGACAAACTTGTTGAAAAACTCAAGCTTGGGATTATCAAATCTTGAACTTGCATGCACAAATCACTTATAATAATAATACCAAGAGAAATAAGAGAAGAAACAAATAAAAAATCTGAACATATTATCTTTTATTGGTGTTAAGTGCAATGTTTCATTTACATGACCAAGAAAGCTTCTTCTTTCTTGTGTTATTTTCATTTTCTTATGGTTTTTAACAGTCTTTCTCCCTTTACCTTCTCCACCCTTTTTTACTTCTTTGCTTTTACGCAAAGACTTGTTTGAATTGAGGAACACAAAGAAGAGAAAGATGGAAGAGTGCGATCCATCCTAGATGGGGCCACTGTATTGTCTACGTACATATGTTTTCTATGTTTTATTCCTTTTATATCTAAAATATATATTGCTGAACAAAGCACATTGACATGTTTCTAACAACATTGCATTCTTCAAATTCTTGTTAAATCAAATTAGGATTTAAAAATTAAAAATGATTAAATCGTATTACCCAAAACTTCATGTTTTCCACTTTCTTAATTGATGATTTATTGACAAATAAAGTTCATCATTATATTTATTATCATTGAAAATATGAAATTATATTTATTCTTCAAATTTTATTTAATTTGCCGAAATTAAATAAAATTTAATTAAAAAAAATGGAGGAAAGCGGGAACGAATTTCTTGTGCAACCTTCAAGAGTTGCTACGTAACAAACCAATGTATAAAATTTTATTGAAATGATGGTATTTTTGACTATTTATTAGAAAAAAATAATAATAAAGTAGGAATAATTTTTTAAAATATTTCTATTTTTATTAATTTAATCCATAAATAGAGAAACTATGAACCTAATCTAGGCAAATATTTTCCTTTTTTATTAACCGTGGATTTCATACTCTCATTAAACTTTCTTTTATTGATTTCAAATTTATTTTCAATAAAAGATCTAAAAGATGTATTTAAATAATAATATTATTATGTATAAAATATAATTAGGTGCTTGTCTGATTGATCTTTTCACTTATGTGAAGAGTGGGAGGTTTTGAGTTCAAATCCTTTCGATCATAATTATTTTTATCAATTTAACGAGTACTCCCACTATTGTATAGTCTATAGTGTTATTTCGGCCTACAAAAGCCTCCAATAAATTAAAAAAATATTTTATATTGTTTACACTCACCCAATCAGCTGGTTTTAGGTCTAGTTTTTGAATTGAGGATGTTTTGGCCCAAAGCTATCCATTAATAAATTCAATGTATTTAGACCTAATTAACAATTATATTTCCTATTTAAATTTACTTGTAAATCAGGAAGATAATTATTATAAATATTCAGTTACATCACAACTTTTTGTATACAAAGATCCTAATTTTGGTAGGCACAAATCTCTATTACCTTCTTCTTTATTTTTTTTAGCCTGTTTGTCCACATTTGCTAAAAGAGTTTTCTTCTGAAATTAATTGACTCTACCTTATGATTTTTGAATTGATGGTTCTCTTCGAAACTGACTATTAGAACCCTATTTCTTTTTATTGATCCTTCATCTGGAGTTTAAGATGAACATATATGCTAATTTTTACAAATAGTTAAGACTGATTCATAAAATTATAATAAGAAAATCAATTTTTAATATAAATACTATGGGATTCTAAAAGTTTATTTTATTAAATATTTAAAATTTTAAATTTGTGTCAGCAACTAAGGATGAGGATAGGATATTATAATTCTTAGACTCAGTTTATTTTCAAAGAAAATGATATATATGAAAAATATAGTGTAATGTTTGGGTGCTTAACATTTTGTTTGGATGAATGGAGGGAGGAATCGTTAAAATAAGGTATAGTAAAGTATGGTACGAAAAAGTACGATAAATGTTTTTTTTATGTTTGTGGAAAGGTATGGTAAATAAAGGTTTAATAACATTGTTTTATTTGGTTTGATGGTAGAAAAAATATAATGTTAAATATAAATATTATGAAAATACTCTTATCATGGAAGATTTATAAATATAGTTATAGATAATTTTAAAAATTAATTTTTTAATTATGCTTACACCCTAATCTTCAAATCTCAATTTGGGGTATTAAAGATTGGAGTGTTTAGATTAGTTTTTAACCTTTCAAATAACTTTTAAAAAACCATACTTTTCCTCAGACTCTCTTCCCAAACGACTAAATAACTCTTTCTACCTTATTTTACTTTCCCAACCAATCAAATAATCTCAATCCAAACAATCCCTAAGAAAATCAATTAATAGAATGGAATTGATTTCTCTCTCCTCACCTTTAAGACAAAAATATTTTCCGACAACAAAAGAAAAAAAACTTTAAGTACATATTATTTTTAGTAATTCACTAACAATCTATAGTCACAATTACTGGCCACTAGTAACTGAATATCATAGACTAATACTGCCACCTGTCACCACCAATCACTAAGAACTGCCACAATTTGTTATTTTATATATATTCAATTTGTAATAATTTGAAAAATTAGTGTTGGTGAAAATATTGTTCTAAGAAAAATTGCAAAGTTTGGAAGGGCAAATTTGTATAAGTTTGCTGAGACTTGAACAAATTAAGGTCAATCCACCTGTTTTTGTACATATGGGAATGTAATTTACTATACTTATTTAATATTATAGGTTTTGTAAAGATAAAATGTAAATATTAGTTACAGCTAAGACAATTATTATTATTGTTATCTTTGTATATAAACACATTACTTTGTCATTAATGAAATTAAAGAAATATTTATTCAATATCACTTTCGGTATGGTATCAGAGCATACAGTTTTGCTCTCTTAACTTTTTGGTTTTCTCTTTTATTTAAGAAAGCAACCTTTGTATTTTCTCTTGTTCCCTTTGTATTTCTCTTCATTTCCTTAATTTCCTTAAATTTCAGTAGTGTTTTTGATGAAATCTTAGGATTAATCTTTGGAAAATTGAAGTTTTAAAGAGATTTTTTTGTATTTTTAGTGAGTTTATTGAGGTTAAAGAAAAATTAATTGAGTTCTCTAAAATGACTGTTCTTAGATTTCTCGATCTTTATTGCTTCCGCAGATATTTAGTTTGTTTTTTATTTCTTCCGATTCTTCTAATCAAAAGGGATATTTTAATTTATAGAGTCAAGTTTATGCATCTCTAAATCAAAAGGGATATTTCTAAGAACATTAAGAAATTAGAAAACAAAATCCTTCAATTGTGCATCCATGACAGACCTTGGTAGTCTATAAATCAAGTTTATGCATCTCTTTCAACTGAGAATTTGGACACATCTTCGTCTGAAACAATATTGTTATTAACTGAGGACAATCCCTTGCTTAATTTATCTAAAACTGAAATTCAAAGACTTATCGATATTCTTGATGATCATACTGAACCTTCATCATCGATCTGTTATTCCCCATATTACTAATATGGCAAATATAATTATGTAGGTTCATTAATATGATACTCTGGAAGCAGAATATATCAGAATTAACTACTAAATTGCATATTTGTTTATTAAGGTAAGGCATTGTATTTAGAGAGAAATTCTTAAATAGATTCAGTCTACCACGTCAGCTATAGACTCACCCAATTAAATAAATGTATATTAATAATTTGTTTGTTGTGATGGGAAGCTTTTGCAATTTTCACCTCCCACTAAGCAACACTAGAGAAAAAGAGTGGAAAAAGAAAAAGTAATGCAACCACAAACATCATTGAAGATTTGAAGTGGACCCAAACAATTTTACAAAAGATTAATATTTTTTCATTATTTATTGAGAGAAACAAAAGATTAGTGATTGGATAAACCTAGAAATTGATATTTAATTGTCCAAGGTTATTGTAGGAAAGAGCTCGGTTGTAAAAATTTCTAAATACCGCTAATAGTCTTTGTCAATAATCCCATAACACTTACTTTGGTCATTATATATTTATCTTTTTTTTGTTTTAGAAGAATATTTATCTATTTGTTATCGCGAAATGTAGTATTTGGAATAGATACTTAATTCAATTACTCAATAAAAATAGGTAACCTGCTTGAAAAGAAAGAAAATCAATTAAATGATTTTTCTTACTATGTATTTTTCATGGCATTGATAGCTACAAATAGATCAAACTAAATTCCTATTAAAATCAATTTAAGAGTTAGATTTTGGTAAGTTGTATATTGGAAACAAATCCCAGAGCATTATTCTATAATTTTTAAAAGGAAACTCTTTGTCAATGTGAGCTTTACTTATAAATCTGGAAGTTTCAAATTAAGAATGACAATCCTTATTATTCAGAGAAATTTCCATGAATATAACTCCGATGTGAAATTATTTGCAAACAAAAAAAGAAAACTCCATTTGGAAATTAATATAGAGCTATTTTTGAAATTATATATATATAAATTTTTCAAAATTATTTTTAAAAGACAACTTTTTTTTTTTAAAACCAAACTACATAATTTTTAAAAATTAAAAAGTTCATTTCTATTGTAAATGCGATATGCATCACAAAGTCAAATAAGCAATTAATAGTTTTTTTCCTTGCAATGAAATATAGAAAAGAAGTATATTTATAGATTTTGAGTTTAAGCGTTGTGTATGGAGATTTTTTGAAAATACAAAAAAGAGCGCTTTGTCTTTTTTTATAGATTTATCCGATATGAATTTAATGTAAATAGATTTTAAATACGGGATGATTAACATAAAAAATAAATATGTAGCTTATAAAAAAGGGTATACCTAGAACTACACAGGGACCAAGTTGTTATATTAACGAAACTTGAAGGGCAATTGCGTACCTAAAGTTTTATATAAAGAACAAGTGCCACGCCACTAAGCGCATACCGCCTTCTATCAGCTCATTTCAGATAAACAAACAAACAGGAACACCTTTCAACTTCAACAAAAATGGCGATGGCTTTCAAGATGGTAAGCAATTTATTTTCTTTTTTCTCTTACGTATTTAGTTTTTTCTTTAATTTTTTTTCATTAATTAATGTACAGGCAACGACTGGAATGTGGGTAACTGATGAATGCAAGAACTCGTTCATGGAGATGAAGTGGAAAAAGGTCCACAGATTTATAGTTTTCAAGATCGACGAGAAATCAAGACTGGTCACCGTGGATAAGGTCGGTGGCCCCGGGGAAGGCTACGATGAGCTTGCCGCATCACTGCCGGACGATGATTGCAGATATGCTGTTTACGATTTCGACTTTGTCACCGTGGATAATTGCCGGAAAAGCAAGATCTTCTTCATTGCATGGTCCGTCCTTTTATTTATTTCTTTTAGTTAATTTATAAATATTATTCTCTAATCAGACTATACTTTTCAATTTTTTTTTTTTTTTTTTTTTTTTTTTTCATGGACATCCGAAGTGGAAAAGTTCCACAGTATTATAGTCATAAGTATCGCGAGCAGGAGAAAATCAAGGACTGGTCACCGTTGGATAAGTCGGTGGCCCCGGGGAGGCTACGATGAAGCTTGCCGCAATCACTGCCGGAACGATATGTATTGACAGATGATGCTGTTTTGAGCGATTTCGACTTTGGTCACACAGTGGATTAATGCCGGAAAAGCAAAGATCTTCTTCATTGCTTCATATGGTTCCGTCCTTTATTTATTTCTTTTTAAAGTTGAAATATTTATTAAAAATAAACTAAGTATTTCCCTCTAAGTGCAGACTATACTTTTCAATTTTTTTGTTTTTTTTTTTTTTTTTTTTTTTTTTTTTTTTTTTTGTGAATTTTCTTTCATAGTGATTTAAGATTTTAATCATGATTGCTAAGTTCTCCCTTAAAATCAAGTGATTCTATAGTTAATTGTTAAAGTAACTAAAAATCAAGTTGTTATATATCTCAAATAGTGGTGAGTTCGTGGTATATAGTCCATTGGGAACTTGGATAAATAAATATTAATTAAGGGAAAATGACAACTTGATTAATTAGTTTAATTAATAGTTATTTTGGAATATTTCATTGTCTCTAGATGATCAAAGTCCCTACAATATGCTTTTTAGGTACACATGTAATATCTCTAATTAGGTCCAGTGTCATGGATCCTTGATTTTCACATGCGAACCAAAAAAAAAAAAAAAAAAAATTAAGACGAACCGAAAAAAAAAAAATATGAAAAACATATATATTGATACCCACACACCTAACATAATAGCTCAGCCGCCGGAAAGAGGAATAATTTTAAACATCTAGATGAACTAACCGTTTAAACCGGAAAGGTGAAGGAGAACGTACTTAGGTAATGAAGAAAACCTATGTGAGTAATATTAATTTATAAATTATACAGTGTCAAAGCTCCCAAATTTTCAAAAACGGATGGTTAACTAACGACAGTTGATAAAATGAGACTTTTCTTTCTTTATTCACAATTTTACTTTGTGAAAACGATCACATTTTATGAATAATATTCCTAATTAAAGTTAAATTGATTTCTAAAAATTATATCTTTAAAATAATTTAAAATTAGAGACACAGTAACTTGAGGCCATTGAAATGTTTGCAAAAAAAAAAAAAAAAAAGAACATATAATGATACCAAACATAACTAATAGCTCCCGCCTGAGAGGAATTAATTTTTCATCTAGTGACTAACCTTTAACCGGAAGGTGAAAGGAAACGACTGGTAATAAAAACTATGTAGTAATATTTTTATAAATAAGTGTCAAAGTTCAAATTTTAATACCCAACGGAGCTAACGCAGTTGATAAAATGAGACTTTTCTTTCTTTATCACAATTTTACTTTGTTGGGAAACACATTTTTAATAATATTCCTAATTAAGTAAATTGAGTCATAAAAAATTATATCTTTAAAATAATTTAGAAATGAGACACAGTAACTTAGCCATTGAAATGTTTGCAATTATTGATGTTTTTTTTTTTTTTTAAATTTTTATTTTGCAATTATTGGTGTAGTAGTTAGATCTAATAGTGGTAATAATTAATAATGTTAATTTCAGGTCTCCAACAGCATCAAGAATTAGAGCAAAAATGTTATATGCAACCTCCAAAGATGGATTGCGGAGAGTGCTTGAAGGGATTCACTATGAAGTCCAAGCAACTGACCCAACTGAAATGGGATTTGATGTTATAAAAGATAGAGCTAAATGAATCTAATTAATTAGCATAATTATTATATTATTAGCTAAATTACATATAATAATAATAATAATAACAACTGTGTTCTACCATTTAATATATGATCTTACTTTCTATTTAAAAAAAATTCCAAGTAGATGTGCTTTTTATCTTCTTGAATTTTGGCACTAATGTCAGTTCATCTTCTAATCTGTAATAATAATAATAATAATAATAATAATAATAATAATAATATCTGTCCTCTATGTGTGCTAATTGGACCACAAAGAACCTTTAATTTGATTTTGATTCTCACTCTTTTAACATGAAAAAAGGCAAATGTTGTGACCACAAAAGATTAAAAGTGCTTTTGGCTTTTTTACTTTTTCTTAAACAAGTTGTTAATTAATTGTTTAGGATTAACTGTGTTCAAATAGGATTTAATGATTTAATTATAGTGTATTCTAAACAAGAATTATTTGAATGGCATAAAACAAGTTAGCATGAAGACACATATGATATGCTTCCTGCTACCTTAAGCCCTTAATTATAATCTCATAATATAATTCACTATAATTTAAAAATGTGATGAAAAGAATAAGAAATTTGTAAATAATAAAAAAAAAAATCTCAATCAGATTAGAAATTAAATTAATAAAAAAATTTGTATCAATACGGTAAAAATTATAAAATAGGGAGGATCACTTTGTATTTTTCCATGGTATAACTCATAATTTAAAATCTACTTACTTAAATTAATAATAATAAAGCTTTTTATTTTTAATAATGGTGGAAATTTCGAGCACTTCAACTTTGCTCCATTTCCTTTTGTAAGCATCATGTATTTATGTACCTAAATAATGGATATAAGAAGAAAATCTGTTACTAGATTAGGTTTGAATTCTTATTTGGCAATTGACTCTTGGATTCTAGCATGAGTTTGGCATCTCTGGTCAGTCAGGTGAATTTGATTGAGATCTTTAATTAACAACATGGACCTTGCATTAGTTTGCATGAGTTTAGATTCATCATCCGGTAGTAGTGTAAAATATCGAGTTCGAGTCCTCTCGACCATAAAAGTTTTATCAATTTGGTGAGTCAAGAGAGAATTACTAATATTGTGTAACCCTTCATGTTATTTCGTCACATTGCACCTCTTAATGAATCAAATAATTGATTATAAATTGAAATAGAGGTTTGAACCCATAAATATAAAGTTTAATATGAGCTTCATTCGATCTGGATAAAGTGTGAAATGTGTGTTAGAAATTTATTTATTTGGACTTATTGATTGTATTTTATTTGGTTTTATAAAATATTTGAGTTAAGCATTATAATCCAAAATGTCTAATTTAAAACCAATTATTAAAGAGTGATCATTAAAAGTATATTGATGGGCCAGTTAAATATGTTTGGTTTAAGTGTGGTTAAATCCTAATTTGAGTTAGGATTGTATATTCTATTAGAGTTATGATGAGAAATCCTAATAGTTTCCCATATATAGGCTATATCCTCTCTCTCTAGTCTATGCCGTCAAAACTTGAAAAATTATTCTCTATCCATTGAGAGTTTGTAGACATAGAGAGAAAATATCTACTCATTCCACGAGCAATTGTGCATGACTGTTTCTATTTAGTTCAACCTAGCATTTGAAATTAAAATATGGTGTCAATGGAAGCAGATAAGATGACACGTAAGTTATTCTATTTTCTGTAATTTCAATTTATATATGAATATTTTGGGCTTTTAAATTCAAACAATGCAAACTTACTTGAATTTGAGCAAATCAATGTTAGAAGGTTATTACTAGCTAATTTCTCACTATTTTTTTATGCTCTTTATGAATGTGATATTTAATAATATGGAATTCTTAAACATGTTGATTTGATTTGCACGTGTAATTAGTAAATCTACATTAAACCCTAATATTGCAAACCAACAACATGTGTCCTAGATTGTAATGGATTTTATAGGTGATTAGTACTCCTGATTTAACATGGAGAGTAATAATCACATTTGAAGGTGCCAAATGAATAAGGCAAAACTTAAAATTATTGATATAGATAGAGCCATGCTGATGATAATAACTAAAGAAATTAAAACATCATTAGTATTACAATGAAAAGCATAAATAAAAAGCAAAATATATAAAAGCTGTTCCTGACTAGGATTATGGCTTATCCATTAGAATTGACATCACTACCTCCACAATATTCCATAAGGAGAAAAAAAAAAGTAAAAACTTGATTATTTTCTTATTTTTCTTTTTGGAAATTTTTGAAATAAAGGTTAGTTTAACCTCTAAATTTATTTAACGGGATTAAAAAGATAAGATTTGACATCTAAATTTATTTAAAATGATTAAAAAGATTAGATTTAATATTTTAGGTCAATTACTTATGATTTTTCATTGTACTTATAATATGAGAATTCTTATACAAATATTTATTTAAATTATAGTTGGGATCAAGCTATATAATTTATTAAAAAATAATTAAATATTGAATAGAGGAAAATGACACGCGAAGTATATTATATTTCTCTTTTATCTTATGATTTTGAATTCATAAATATGTACTAATTATAAATATTTTTAAACTCATCTTTATTATTGGATCATTGCATATGAAATTCATGGATTTATCATATTGAACTTATTAAAGTTATATTAATATTGAAAACATTTTATCTGGGTATTCCTGTTAAATTGAATCAATTTATTAATTTGTAAAAATCAAAATAAGTTCAAGGTTAAATTAACTTAAAAATAAAATTTGATATTTTCAATCGTTTTAGACAAGTTCAAAGATTAAATCTATGGATATATAAAAGTGGGAATGGGTGAAAAAGAACATTGGGATGGTAAAATGTCTCTACTAAGTTTATATATAGAATATAAAGGCTAATATGGCCCCTGAACTTATTTAACAGGATAAAAAAAAATGTTAGATTTGACCTTTTAAACCAATTTAGCTCATTAACTTGTTCAAAATGATTAAAAATATCATATTGACCTTTTAGGCCAATTTAACCACAGAATTTATTTTGATTTTTACAAATTAATTGATTCAATTTAAAAGAAACACCTAGATTAAACTTTTTTCAATTCTTTTGCATAGAAGTTTAAAATCTATAAAATATCATTTCTCCTAACACAACAAATTTACAAAACATGTAGTATAAATTTTAATCTATTTAATATGAGAAATATATGGATTTCACATGTAATAATCTGGTAATAAAGATTAGCTTTAAAATGTTCAAATTAATACATAAAACTCATAATCGTCAGTCAAGATAAAGAGGAATATAATATACTTCATGTATAATTTCTCTATTCCTTATTTAATTAATCTTTAAATGAATTAATCTCGATTTCAATTATAATTTTAATAAATATCTATACAAGTATTCTCACATTATAAGTATAGTGAAGAATCGGGGACTAAATTATTATAAAATATCAAATATGACCTTTTAATCATTTTAAACAAGTTTAGAGATTAAATTGCCATAAAAGGTAAAAAATCTGACATTTTAATTCCACTAAACAAGTTCAGGGTCCAATGAGAGTTTATTATTTATAGATTGACAAAAATATCATTAAGAATTTTAATTTCGTTGGCTGAAAAAATAAAGTTAATTTAATTTTGATTGGTCATATTAATTTTCTATTTAAATCTAGATTTTATTAAATAAAATAAAAAATTATATTATAATTATAATGAAAATATAATTCATCGGATTTCAATTATAATCATTTGTAACGTAAATATCAAACTATACAAAGTATTCTCACCATTATAAGGTATTAGTGTGAAGAATCGGGGACTAAATTATATGATTTTAATAAATATTCAAATAACTGAACCTGTTAATCATTTTAAACAAGAAATTATAGTAGATTAAAATTAAACCATAAAAGGTAAAAAATCTGACATTTAACCCTTCCGACTAAACAATGTTCAGTGGTCCAATGAGAGTTTTATTATTTATAGTATTGGACAAAAATATCTAATTAAGAATTTTTTTAATTTCGTTGGCTTGAAAAAATAAAGTAATTTAATTTTTGATTTTTGGCATATGTTAATTTTCTATTATAAATCCTAGATTTTATTTAAATAAAAAATAAAAAATTATATTATATACTATATAAATTATTTGTTAAATATGGTAAGAGTATAATATCTTTAAGGATTTTTAATTTTATTGATTGAAATAATAAAAATAATTTAATTCTTTTTCAATTTAAACGTAATTTAATTTTGATTGGTATATCAATTTCCTATTTAAATCTAAATTTATTGGATAAACTAAGAAAATACATTATATACTAAATAAAGTATATGTTAAATACGGTGAGAATATAATATCTTTAAAGATTTTAATTTTATTGTTTGAAAAAAGAGATAATTTAATTTTGATTATAATATTAAAGATTTTAATTTTATTGTTTGAAAAAAGAGATAATTTAATTTTGATTATAATATTATATTATATAAGGTACATATTAAATATAGTAAGATTATAATATGATTAATTATTATTTTGAATAAATCTTAAATTTGATTGGTTATAATTATTTCCTACAAGTAACTGTTCTATAAAAAATAAATGTAATTTATTATTATTATTATTTGAAGAATAGAAGAGAAACTTTATTAAGCAACTACTAAATCAGCAATAGCAAAACTAAGTGAGGAGGAAAACTCCACATCTTCAGGCTAGTAAATGAACAAGTTACCTGTGCCATAGCATGGGCAGCTCTATTAACTTGCCTTTTCACTCAACAAACATCAATAATGTTAGCAGTAATACTCAAAGCCTTACAATCATCAATTAACAACCCAAATTCAGAAATATCGGCTGCAAAAGAACTAAAGGCATCACAAATTTCTTTTTTTTTTTTTTTTTAATCAAAGAGGAATATCCGGCGTAGCAAAGAAACTAAAGGCATCAACAAAGTTTTTTTTTTTTTTTTCCCTTGATAATTTTTTTTTTTTTTTTTTTGATAATAAAGGAGATCATAATATTATAATAAATCAGAAGCAATAAGATTTTCAATACAGTGGGGAATCATGTCCCATGAATGGAAACAAGGATGTAAACATGCCACACGAGCAAGAGCACGTGCAGGCTTGTTGACTTGCCCCCTAGCCCAAAGCAATTCAC